TCTGATTCAAGAGACAGTTCATAATATATTCTAGAATATGAATAGAAATTTAGTAATACTGGTTGTGATGCTGAGACATTGCGCTTTTCTTTTCCAGTAGGGATTGACAGTATAAAATTAATTGGACTGCACGGTTGGCGCGGTAGTTGGGCAACTGGTTAGATTATTAAATGATAGAGATGGCACGATATTTAAGTACAACGAATTGAGTAACCTTTCAGTATTCGGGCGTTACTCACATGATTGCATGGCTTATACACGAGTACTATGTATTTATTTTTTACGCTAATACTGAGAATTTTAAGGCTCGTTTAAAAATGAGCCTTACCGCCGTACTCAGAGTAATTTAATGGCTACTTAACCCAGTCCTTAGTAATTGTTTTCGGAACTAAATACTTACTAAGGAATACTTTAAGTAAGTATTAAATGTCTCGGAGTATTGCAGTTAAAGACAGTTGCACTTAACTCACTTTAAGGTTAAACATAACAGTCTTACTCCACACGTTTCACAATCTCACACAACAATAACATCACCATCATGTTAAATTAAAACCGCTACTATTTCGTCTACAATCACGACAAATACAGCATTAAACAAAGTGTCGACGCAAGAGTCATATAAACTGACTGACGTTAATACCCCTGCTCTTTCCCGTCCATTACGTAGCAGGAATTCTTTAAAGCATCGTTATAGAGTGGAGACTGTGTGGCCAGAGCTGTCACGTCTAATCGAATGTCGGCTTGGAAGCAATGGGAGCCCATCGTACGTTCAGAAACCATCGCCCCCCTATAATTGATTCTTGCGGGACAGTGTGTCATCTGTCTTCTGTGTTTCCCATTTTAACTTAAATAAAGAAAGGGTCGTTATTTTGGTGGAAACTTTTTGGAAGGCAAGTAATGGTGTTAAAGGATAATTGAACGAAAAGAGTTGAGAATATAGCTTTATAAGTAAGGAATCTAGTACTAAAACCTAATTTTTACATCCTCAAAGGGTCAGGTATGAGTGCACACATACCTACATAAACCCCCTTTTCTGTTAAGAGTCACAGGCAAATCGTTTATGAAACTGATAGTACGATTATAAATACCTCTACTACCTAACAGAATGTATTTATCTCTTTAGATACATTAATCAAACTGAAAAAGAATGACACTTGACATTACCTTTACGAAGAGTGTGCGAATATTTATTCAAATATAATGAATCCTTAGAAAGAATATAGTATTGTAGGAACCAATCTTTCTGAGGTGTTTAATATTTTATTTTGGCCTTAATACGGTTAGCTTAGGTGGGTTACGACACGTGTCTCAAACTAGACAAAGGGCAGCAATACTCACAACTTGCAAGCTCACCGCGTTGAGAGAGAAAATACATTGATGTTTTGGCCCTTTTTACACCAGACCCTTGTGACCTGAATAGGTAACCCTTTTAGAGAACTGCCGAAAATTGGGGCTCGGAAGAAATCCCCGTAAGAATTATGTAGCTTGATTAATCTTGTACTTACTAAATAGGGTAGACGACTAATTTTTATTTTAATGTCCGTCTGATAGATTATTTAAAAACATTAGACACGTATTTTTTATTTTCTCACAGAAACGAATAGTTTCGAAGATATATTGATTTGAAATGTCGCGTGATGTCACTTCTCAGTACATTTTATACTAAGAAATGACGTTTTAGCCCCCACTCCTAAACTTTGATTCGTTTTATCTAAGTATTGTTTTATTATACGACAAAATAAAAAAAATACGTGTCTAATATTTTTTCATTACCTAACTTACGGACTAATTATATTTTTAATTTTCATACCCTGTCATCATCCCCATTGTAGAGAGAACATACTATGTGCAAAACAGATAAATAAACACAAAAAAGCAAATGTTTATGTACAGATTCCCATTACATAAATCTGACCTTGTGTTATAAATAAACCGTTGCGTTGCTCCCATAAACATTTTATTGACTATTAATGTTTTTACGACTTTTTTCATACATTTATTGCGACGATGCTACGCTACGTTGTTTAAAAATAAATAGGATGCTAGTACCTACTTTTATTTTATTCTAATACTTTATTTTATTCTACTATTGTATATTTTATAATTATAATAGGTAGGTTTTAATAATTAAAAATGAATTTGTCGTTCGTCGTGAAATGACAAAATTATCTATAACTCTGCTGTGACCAACCAAATCCTATGTCTATCTTATTCCAACCTAGCTAGGAAAAGGTCAACAGAGAGATTTCCACTGTACGTAATAATAGCACACTTACATTCAAGCCGCGCGTACAAATCATAAAATCGCCGTCGCTTTCGAGCATAAACTATGGAATGGACAATGAAACAAACGAGATGCTTTTATCTAGAGACTACCTTCTATCTGTGGTTTCACCCACGTAGAAAGTAGTCTACGATGTACTGTCACTTCAGATTGTAATTTACCTCTTGTCAATAATTTGACTATAAACTTAGACTAATAACGCCTATAAACTATTAATCTATCTTTGTGCCAAATATTCAGATCTATTCAGTAGTTTTCCTTGAAGGAGTAACGAACACCTATACATACATCCTCATAAACTTATGCAATTATAAATAAATAGATTGGATAACACCGTATGGTCGTATAGAATATTATTTCTTTTGAGTCTTGTTTGCACATATTTCCTGTTATTTGGTTTCATACAGAGACATCAATGGACGTAATCAATGCTTTCATTATTGCCTTTAATTCAAAATGTGGCTCGTTAAATGGCGGACTGTTATTGCAGGTGACTTCCAGTTGATGTACTGAATGTATGGATGGAATGTATTATGTTGGTATTTGCTCTCGTTACTGTCCGTTGTGATTGGAATACATTCTGACGAAACGAGAATCGAATAATTGTGTTACGAAACGTACGATGTTTGTTGTGGAAATGGAAAAATCCTTTTCAATTTAATTGGTAACGTCCAGTTTGATTTACAATTGATTTTTGATGCAGATTAATTATATGAACACAAATAAATTGCCCACGCGGGCAAAAATTTTACGGGAGAAACTCAAGTTAGATATAAATTGTATTCAATAAAATGAAAAATCAGTTTTTTGAATGTACTATGCTTTGCAAATGGACAATATGTAGGTAGAACTATCAGCATCGTGATCTATATCTCGCAATAGAGAACAAAGAAAGCGGTCATATTATGGTCCCGGTCCATACTAGGTGTTGCGTTGTCACGTCGCTGTCGCACGCGACAAGGGTGTGTTTTGCGTCCAAGAGTTGCGCAAAGCCTTTTGTAACGCGATATCGAGGTCGGGATACAAAAGTTAAGTCATTGTCGAATTTCAGCTACAATTTTACTTTCTCAAAAGTAAAATAGGAGCTTCGCAATATTTTTGAAGGAATTAATGATTCCTTTGAAATCAAATGATGTAGAAATATTATACAATGTTGTTTTTCACTTGTCACGAGTCTGCCACTTTTCGGAAATGACGATTGATTCTCGAGTCAGCCAACCTTTTATTGGATTTTTGTGCCGAAGCTATCAATTTAAGTGTAGTAAAGTGAAACTTTATAATAAGCACTGTATGAAAATAAAAAGTACCTATGTGTTATGTCTGCACATCATATTTTTCCACCATCATTGTTCTAAAGTGTTTTGAATCTATTATGCAAAACACGTTTCCTACCTACAACAACAGAGGCTAATTTGAAATTTAAAATTGACTTTTCAACAAACATTTTGAAAGGTGAGTTAAGGCCCCGATGCAAATAATTGTTTTTGAAAATTATATTTAGATTGTTTCCGTATCCATACTGACTACGCACAATAGAAAAATAGAATATAGCAATTTTGTTTTGTTCTAGAAGTTATGTGGAATACTTATGTGGTTACAAGATTATTTATGAGCATACAAGTCATCTCATCATCATCATCAACAGCCTATAAATGCCCACTGCTGAGCAAAGCCTCTTCTCACACGGAGAAGGTTAGAGCATTAATCACCACGCTTGCTTAATGCGGGTTGGCGATTTCAAACTTATAATTAGAAATTATAAGTTCAGGTTTCCTCACGATGTTTTCCTTCACCGTTTGTCAGTGGTGTCTAAATAATCTTAGAAAGTACATATAACTCGGAAAAAGTCACATTGGTACTTGCCGTTGGTAGGTTTCGAACCCGCACCCTCATGCATGAGAAGTGGGCGTACAAGTCATCTGATCAGCATAAATTCTATAAACTTGCTACCAATTGGACACGATATCATGAAACCATTCCTAATCTCCTACAAAGCCAAGGTTAAACAAAACAGCTATCAGATTGTTTCCAATAAAGGTTCATAAGATAATTTTACAAAAGGGACAAGAATAATCAGTTATCCTTCGACTGTCGCTCATCTAAATAATAAATCACGGCAGTCGTTAAGAAGGCTGAAGAGTGATTTGAATTTTAAAGTACAAGGCATCAGTTACTCGGAGTCGGACGGCGCTGGCGAAGTCAGGGCTATTTATAGCGAAACAGAATATTTTACTACCTACCTTGTCATTCTTCCTGACACTGACTTTTGAGAATCTCTGGGAAACTGTCCAGGTCACGAATACTAAATCATGTTTCAAACTCCTGTCCGTCTGAACCTAATGTTTTAATCTATATCCTGACGAGCTGGAATAGTACTAGGTACATTTTTTTCAAATGATGCTTAATATGAAAATATGCACCTCTATCTAACCTCTTCACCAAAGATTAAAAGCTCTGATTTTATGTTAAAATTTTTAATCTTTATTACTTTGTTAAGGAAAAATATAGGACACAAAAATATAATTATAACAAAACAAAACTTTAAAAACAAAGATAAAATTACAGAATGAACCATTGCCCATTTATTTTTGCATGCTGCAAATAATTTCCAATTGAGCGAAAAACTTAAATTTGCCTAAAACAAGATGACCACCCACAGTTGTTCATGACACATGACTTGTCGATAATAAGTTATAAGAGTTTGTTGGTAACTGTATCAAACTTTGTTCGGATTTTCATCTTCAGGGCCTTCCTTTGTACTTACGTGCTTATGGTAATCGAGTGAAGTAGCGAGAGAACAAGATAATCCAGTGCCATCGGGTTCAACATTTAATTGTTTGAGAATGTTGTTCGCAAGAAACATGGAGAAGCGTTTCGCACGGTACCCTCCGAGCGCAGACATATGTATGCCGAGGCCAATCGCACGAATGAATTCACCGCTGGGGTCTGCCAGCATACGAACTCTTCCTTTTGTATGGTACTTCTCCGACCACGCAGCCATCACATAAGGGTCATTTATTGAAACGCAAATTATTTCATGGATACCGTCACTCTTCATTTTGTCAGCTAAATTTATGTACCCTGGTAGGTGGGTTCTGGAGCAGCCTGGAGTAAAAGCACCATGTACTCCGAATATGACAGCATATTTTCCTATTAAGAGTTCAGGCAATCGTACTAAATTTGTAGGATAATCTTCATATAACACACACTCTGGTAGATTTTCACCCACTCGTATAATTCGTTGGAAAACATTTGCTATTCGTCGGTCACTGACCTTCTGCTTTATCAATGAACCTGAATTACGGAGAATAAATTTCCTGGTGGGTAGCATTTTTGAGGGAAATAATTTACGTTGAAAATGCTGCGGTGTAACTAAAATTCTTTGAAAAAATATCTTGAAAGATTAATTGACATTTTATAACATCTAGCAGTTGTTCAGTTGTCTTTAGATTTTGCCAGTTTGAATGACATAGATCCTTTTTGTTATAAATAAGTATGTAGTCCAGTAGTAAAAGTATGGATATGATGTCCCTAGAATGCCTCGTACTTGGCCTGGTAGAAGTATGAATTAAATTATTGGATCAAGCTAAACTGCTAGGACTAAAAGAAACAGTCTTTATTGAATAAGAGGAAGTTCTAATTTTACAATTATCTATCTTTTTTTCTTTTATTGCTTCCTCTAAGATCATATTTAATTAATATTATCTTTCACGGCTTACTATTGATGGGACTGATCGATGAGGTAACTTTTAAATAGTTTACTTAACTACCGATTGAACGTTGATATCCTTAGAATATAGAAAAAAAATCCGTTTCTAAAATGTTTTTATCTAACTATGTAGTTGAATACTGCAAAGACGTACTTCAGGTTTAAATAAAAAAATTTCAAACTTTTTATTTGTTACTTTGCGTTGTAATACTATGTTTGGTAATCATAATATCGTAATATTTATATGAACGCTCAGTTTAACACACGTATACGCCGAATTATTTCAATTTTGCCCTAATTTCGCTCGTTCGACGTTGATAAACCTTCGACGTGGCCTAATTAATATTCTCCGTAGCATTCAACAGTTGTGAAATCATATTTAACAAAGTAAATGAAACTTTAGTAGATACCTACAGCAATACAAACCAGTATGTAATAATATTTCGACAGTTTCAATTATTTTCTCCATAATTTCAGTTTTCAAAAATCGCTTGTCCCGTATGCAGTGAATTGGTCCGAGAAAATGAAAATGTTGGTGCCAGAAATTGCTTCACTACGAGCCATGTATGTGTAAAAATAAGAGGAATATTTTCCCCATTTCATCAGTGTGTTCCAAAATGCGGGAAAATAAACATTCACATATTTTTTGTTCGTTCCTGATTCTCAGAATCGCTCGGAGTAACACAAACATTTTTTTTGCGAGCATTTACAAAACATTCGTTTTATTTTGTAAATGCGAGTCGAGTTATTTGATTACTGCATATTTTTGCTATTTAAGTAAAGCGAATTCCTTGTTCAGGTTCAACCTATATACCTATATAATAAATAAATTATACTTCTTTTGGATATGGCTTAATTTTAAGATGATACATACACATTAGTATTTATCCACAAGGATTTAACATTTCTCAGTTGCGTATACTCGCATCGTATAAATAACTGATCTGTTTCGAATGTAAAATGTGTGGCCCATTCGACGAAGCACAGTGTAAATGGAGACACTCGGAGCGTCTTTGATGGCAACCATTTCAACGATATAAACCGCCAATGGCTTTATAAATCAGAGAGGAAATAAAATGGAACATCATGAGTTACCGCAACGATAAAGTGCTTTCCCGTTTGAGGTTTTGATTGGAAATAAAATAAAACATGACATTCTAAGAGTTTAGTAGGTCATTTTATCGAAATAGTGTCAGCCCTCATTAGTCGAAGCTCGTTGATAGTCTTTAGCCTAGTTTCAGAGTGTTCGACATCAGTGAAGCATTCCAAGTGTTGAAGTGAGCAAAAGGCGGTCGCGGACGCAACATTAAATTCTCAAGATCACTTGACTCTCCAACGATTTTTTATCTTCAACAACATGTCTGATTCATTAAAAATTATTCGGGAAACAAAAAGAGCCATTTAAAACACATACTTCAAAGAATAAAAAAGAGACCCTGAAAATAAATCAAAGGAAATTGTCTTTGTTCTCATGAACTTTCGTGGCTTCGGTAGCGTGAAATAAGTTTTTTTAGGGTTTTTGTCAGACAACTACTTGAGACCGGGATTATATCGTGGTCAGGCTGTTTTGGGGTATCTAGATGGCCTTTTGACGACTTTCTCATAGAATTTATAAAAAGAAAAGACAAAATGGTAAATATGCTAAGCGGTGAATCGTTAAATATCTTCTTCATAAAAGAAGTAAGAAAAACAATTGGATTATGAATAAATATAACAAGCAATGAATGGATAACTAGAACATTAAACTTTGAAATAAATTTTCAGTCCTGAGTCTATGCGTAATGTAGTACGTTTTGTACGTGACAAATAGCATCAATGCATTTCATCTTCAGCCGGAGACGCTATAGAACATGATTTGCATTCATAGTGCGTCAGCAAAATCTCATAATGACGTCTGCTATGCACTCGTTATTAAAATGAACCGTGGCTCGTGTGGGAAGCATGTAATGTGCATAGTAGCATCATTATACCGTCATAATGTCACGACTTTATTACTGTTATTAAACATCGTCTCTATGATTTGTAAAAAGAGATGTTGATGACTTAAGTATCTATATTTTGTTTGTGAATGCTTCGTTAGTCGATTATTATTTATCTATACTGTTACTGGTGCTATATAGTTGTAAATCCTATTAATCATACTAACTCCTATCACTGTAGTTTATGCTACCACATCTTATGCAACGGGACAATTCAGTATACCAAAGTTATATCTTCCAATTACCGCATCCATACATCACATTACGAAGACTAATTAATGTTCGAATACAATGTAAGTTATGCTCACGTATTGTATAAGTGGATCCGTTACAGCGAATAGTTGGGCTTGTTAGTCGTGACGTCATCGCGTCTATGAGATAACTCTGTGCTTGGCACGTGAGTTATATTGGTACGAAGATGAACAAACAAACTAAGCGTTTGTCGGTTTAATGTCAAAGAGTATGCAAAGCTGTACTTTGTTGGCGTATAAGTCAAATGTCATTGATGATGTAGCTTAAGTTAAGTATTTAATTATTTCATAAGCACTTTTTCAACAAGTAGTAGCACGGAGATTAGTTTACGGAAATCAATCGAAGTATCTCTAGTGAATAGTGAACAATCAATGCTTGTTTCTCCGAATTAGGTTATAGACAAATAGAAACATGACGTTCTGTTTCGAAACCGGTGCTAGAGATGTTTGAACACAAACATACTAGTTAAACAAAAGTACGACCACGAAATGGTAAAGGCAACAACACAAGCACGAAATGGTAAAAGGCATCACAACTAAGACTTCTTGAGACATATAGGTCACACTCAATATAGTGGCCAGTAACACCGAGTGGCTTGTGTAACTTAGCACGTTTGTATACAGTACGCCTAACTGTAGCAACTGTAACCCTCTCGCGCGCCTCTCGTACACACGGATAAACACGCGTTCTCGTACACACGGGTAAATATTTTAATAGAGAAGCGAATTAACTATTCTGTTCAATCAAATAAAGAACGGGTTGCAAACTTGTAAATATACTCAACTCTCTCGTACACACGGGTGTACGAGAGAGTTGAGTGCCCAAACACGTGAGAGGCTAGTACCCATAAATCTACAGTGGCGCCATCAACTGCTTAGCGAAAACTTAGAATAAAATAATGACGTTGTCATAAAATAATAACTAAGTTGTCAATTGATTTGGCTACCTGATATAGAAATTTATCCTCTAATAACCGAATCTCTTGTCTCAAGACGAGAATTTGTCAAAGATTGCGCTAAGACCTTTAACAGAGTAACTTTAGAGGCGTGGGAAAATAAACATCCTTCAAGACATGGCACATAATGTCCATGTTTGTTAGTATTGTAATGTAATCTGTGTAATCTGTAAATTTCATGTACAGTAGAGTCAAGAATATTGTGTGTCTGACTGTCTGAGTAAATATTTTATTGCGCTAGACTTAGGTACCGAATGTTGGGAATATTTGCTTAGCTCAGACTATTTGGCAGCGCGCTTCTGGTATTAATTGCGACTTATATCTTTGTTTGTTCCTCTGCTGTTACATATTTACGATGTCCCGGATTAAGAGCATTCTGTTAGAAATAGAAGAAATTCTTAATACCTCAGTTTGTTACACTATTACGCTTAAGTGCTCTATTCATATTAGGAGTCCTAAAATGATGCGAGCATATAACTTTTTAGAAATATAAAACTATTTTTCGTATCCGTCAGCAAAATCATAAGATTAGAACGTTCAAACTAGAAATAAACTTTCTTTATGGGCGCATTTTAGTTTCATAAACGATAAAGTTCGTGAGAAGGGAATGGGTGTTTGTTAGCCTTTCTTACTTAAAAGAATTTAGATGCTTTCATCTACCTCTAGATGTTTTCATATTATAAGACTATGTCCGCATAAGATTCATACGATATGTTTACAAGAATAATCATAAGACAAAGTATCATACAAATTCTAGTACCCATACCTAATAGACACTTATTCAGTGGCAACAGATAATTTCCAATATTTCTGTTGCAATATAGATATCGCTCGTTTGAAGGGAAAATATAAGTTCGTTACGGTCCCAACGGAGAAAATTCTTTGCGCCATTCATTTATTGTTGGTGCCGTCCGTCGTCAAACGGATTATGTTTCTAGTACAAAGAGTTTGTTGTGTTCCTGATATGATTTCTGCGAACCAAGCCATAGAGAAAATATAATTTAAACTGATTGTTACTTTTGAGAGTTTTTAAAGATGTATAAAAGTAATATAATTGTATAATTTATTAAAATAAAAAAGAAGTGGATAGATCTCACTAATTTTCATCAAAGATCATTTCGGCTTAATACATTTTTAGGCCTTTTCTAAAAGACTGCAAAAATTTTTAACATTATCATTGAAATTGCCTCAGATTCTTTATTCTAGCAATATCGATCATTATTTTGCGTTTCCCAGCACCTTTAGAAAGTGATAAATGTATGAAAATGATCAATCTTTGAACAGGTATAACTTCTTCATCTTAAATCCGAAAACATTTATAATTATCCTCTTTAAATCTAATTCTAACGGAACGTACCATTTTTTGTATTATTACTTTCGTGAGATACACTAAATTAATTATTATGTTTAGTAGCAGTCGCCGCGTCGTGGGTCGC